CTTTGATTAGTCCCTTCGCGTCGACGCCGTTGCCCGATCCATCCTCATCGGACCAATTACCATCAAGACGCTCCGCCCGGCGCTCCGTCCCCACCGGTATCAACCCATCTTATGGCTTCTTCTCCAGGATGCGGCGACTGCGCGAGGTGTTTTTTTTTAACGAGATGAAACCATTTAGCTCTTACACAGGGCAAAGAGGGTTACACGCCAAACCTCATTGGTTATCAGTCTGTCTAATTAATGAAGGGTTTTAAATTAATGAGTCCGACGGGACTCGGTGCTGAGGCACATGGTTCCAAGCCACGCTGCACTTTTTCACAACTTGGTCGTCGGCACCAGAGCTGGCCATCAATAAAGTTCCATGTTATCAGCTGTAGTATGGCACAGGGGAACATATACACTGTACACTGTACAGGTTTCGACACTGCTGATCGAGATGTGCATCCACTTGCACATGCAGCTATTAAATGAAGTCAGGATTCCAAATCAAAAACAAAGCTCGACTTGCTCGATCCAACCGCCTTAAAGCCTCTCCTTATTACGAGGTAGCAATCCGGAAGCTAAAGCTCAAGACACGAAACATCTCATGTTTTTTATATCACCACCAACCGAATCAAAACAATCGCACTGATGCCTCACTATAAAACCATCACCGAATATCGCAGATCTGGGGCAGGTATACAGAATACATGGAATACACAATCTATCTGTATGCAACACCATGCTCGCTCAATGAACGGTGTCATTAAATCACCTGATAAACTCAGGCCGACCGCACCGACTTGCTTACGCTGTACACAATACTCTGTGTATATTTATATGCCAGGCATATATATGCACACGCACACACACACGGAGGAGGAGGGTGAAAAAATTTAGTTCACCGAGTGACAAATTCAACGAGTTGATGCGGGAAGTTGCATGTCCGCACACACACCGCGGCGTGTAAAACGTGCGTGCAATCTGTGTAAACATACACATGATAAGAGATTAGGGGGAAAAAAGTGCCGAGTCCAAGTCCGCGTATAGATGTTGCAAAGGATGATGGGAGGTGTAGTTTCTTATTGGGCTATCGAGGGATGCCCCCTGATGAAGTAACAATGATATGATACGCCCTCGGGGAAAAGAACAGCAGGTGGAATGATCCATATAAATGGGGGGGGGGGGGGGGGGCAGTTGAAATAAATAATTGCAAATGTAGTAGACCCAAGTTGCAAAGGGTGATTTGGGGTATAGGTAGGTTCTTATTGAAACATCAAGGGATGCCCCTCGTGTAGTAATGGCACTGATATAATGATTCGCCCTCGGGGAAAAGAACAGCAGGTGGAATGATCCATTTAAAGGGGGGGGGGGTGGGCATGAGCTAAATGATTACAAATGTAGCGGATAAGTTATTAAGGATGATTTGGGGGTATAGGTCTTATTGAGCCATCAAGGGATGCCCCTGATGTAGTAATGGCACTGATATATGATTCTCCCCCGGGGAAAAGAACAGCAGATGGAATGATCCATTTACTGCCACGGAGGGTTTGGCTGAAATAAATGATAACGACTGTAACAGGCACAAGTTGCAAAGGATAATTTTGGGGTTTAGCGTCTCGTTGAGCCATCAAGGGATGCCCCTGATGTAGTAATGGCACTGATACATGATTCTCCCCCGGGGAAAAGAACAGCAGGTGGAATGATCCATTTACCGCCACGGGGGGCTTGAAGTGAAATGATTACAAGCGCAGTGGACAGTGGGGCCAATTAGCGTGCGATATTGATTGAGGACAGCTCAAGGAGGAAGTAGCAGAAATGCCTCACGCAACGAGAAAGACACCGGACCCCATGCACACTTGTTATGAATTATCGGGGAAAATATCTCAGATTTTTGAAGCGTGAACAGAATTGACCATCGAGTCGGCAAGTGCTGCATAGTCCTCTTGTACACAATTCAGTAATTATTTTAATCACTTGCTTTTCATTGTGTACAATCAAAGATGCAACTCTACTTTTTCAGGAAAACATACATACATGTATGTATGTACACTGTCATTGTCCTTTTTAAAGGGAATATACAACATTTGCTCTTACTTTAATTTTCAGAAATGGACGGATTAGGGGTTTTTAGTAATTTTAGGGCAAATGTTGTTACAATGACCTGTTTCAATTTTTGTGTTCACAGATGCTGGAGAGACCAAGAAAAAAAAATGCTGTTCTTGTAGTCTGGTTCCCTGACCGTACTTCCGACGAAACGGAGCAAGTTATAGACATCAGGGAATTGTCAGGTCAGGGAACCAGACTGCATGTAGCTGGCTTGCACCCTTTCACGGATGTGTAACTGATTGCAAGCAAAATGTGGTTTGCGATAACTTAATATGGTAAATTGGGGGCAGTATTTGCACACACACAAAAACAGGTTCAAAATGTCCATGAAACTGTCAGCTTGCAAAAAACTGGCAAGCAAAGTAACAGTACCGGTATATTACACTGTATTTATATTACACTGTATCACCATTGTATTTATTCCCTGATGTATACAGGAAATCATACAGTGCTGGTATAGGAAGTAACAAGCAGGACATTTAGAGGTGGTACAGGGACTGATAAGAATAAAAACATCAAAAATGACAGGAACACGTTACATTATTCCTGGAGTGCATTTTGCATTGCCAACTAATGGCAGTGTGATGTTATCCATTAACCCAAAATTACAATACAATGCTTGTAGCACACAACTGAACAACAATGCTACTGGTAACTGCACTTCCTGGGGAAGGAAGTAATATTAAATTCCTCTTTTTATATCTTCCAGACGAACGAGAAGCAAATGCAGCCACTGTACTTAATATACATTGACCATGTTACTGCAATATGCAGTGCAATAGGACAGCAAAGGTTTTTTGTTCACAAAGGCCCAAGGAAAAGTGAATTTTGCAGTAATGATAGTAAAAGGGAAAAGGAACTTATTGGCGAATTCACTTAAAGTTATGAACTTTCCTCAAGGTTAATCTTTTGTACAGACCAATTAATTATATGCATGTCACTTTCTAGACATTTAGAGGCCTGAAGTTCACACAATATAAAAATTGACACACTGCCCTAAAAACCCGGGAAAAGATTGAATTAGCATGAATTTAAATCCTCCTTTTTGCAGATATTCAAGCCGCAGATGGATGTGTGTGATATCGTTTTTTTGTTAACGAATTCAGATTCAATTAAGTAACCTAAACACGAAAACTAATTACAAGTTTAGTTCAAAGATTTTTCAATCCATGAGTACTCCTTGAGTATTTATAAAAACAAACATACACAAAAAATAAAACCAAAAACCAGCAAATTACTATATTATTTAGCCATGTACAGAATCCACAAAATATTTACTGTAGCTTCAAAAGGTAAAACTAGACCAGAAATCTTGTAGTTTATACTAAAAAAAAAAAAAAAAATTGAGAAGGCTACAGTAAAGTCTTGTACAGGAAAATACTTTTCATGGTTATTAATGGTGAAGGGGAACGTGACACATGAACGCTTTAATTAGTAAAAAAAACCACCACCAACAACACAATGCACACCTATGTGAAGAGTAACGAGAAGAAGAGCACATAGTCATTGTCAGATTTATAAATAAAATGCAGTCATAAACTGTCAGTTAGTCCATAACGTGATAAGTAATGATTGCCATATGGCCCATTGTATGTAGAGTAGAATATCTCACCCCATATGACATGACCGGCTCATTTGAATAACAATAGGATTGTCAATGAAAAACCAGGATGACACACTGATGACCAAAAAACATTGGTTTTTTTTTTACTTACACGTACCGGTATTGAGCCTCTCATAACTTGAAAATGGAAATATTTCATACACATTTCCTCAAAAGCGAGATGAAAACACAGATATATTTAGTATGTAGGTATTGGTATGATTGTGACATTTTCGACTTGTTTCTCCCCCCCCCCCCCCCCCCCCCAATTCTATGAGGATCAATTTATGAATGAAAAATAACTGGTTTTACATGTGCAAGAGCAACTTCCCACATTGTGCGCTCCACATTCCTGTACTGTTGAATACTAATCTTATTGAGTCATGCAGCTGTGCAGAGTAGGGCAAGTACCCATCCTTTGCTGAACTCCAGAGTGTATGAACAGCGCCCTCTGTTGACCATCTGAAGTCATTTTATGTTAGCTTTCTTTTATTCCCGCAATGTAGTTATCAGTATTGGTGAGTCAAGCAGTTGCTGATGAAAATTTTCCCGGAAAAAACGTCCGGTGCAAATGCAGAGCTTCTTCCGGACAAAGTGAATGATTCTACCCGCAACTTTTCCGGAACTCGTCCCAGATATAAATGGAGACATGATTCCAAATATTCTTGGCAAGCTTGACATCCTACTAAGGCGAAAGTTAAGTGGGGCAGTATTTACAATAATTTCATGAAGTTACATCTTTAAGTTTTCTCGGCAAAATGTTGTTGTGCCCCATCTTTTCATGTAGCTGCTACTAGGGCGAGTGCGCACTACCCCCATGTGCTAGTTCCACGATTGCTTCATAAAGTGCATGCGTAGTAGACTAGCGCACTGGTAACAAGTGTGATAGTCTACTACGTATGCGTATTTAACCTGTGCCTGAAACCTCGCGTGCACGCTTGGTAAACAGCAAAACTAGCGGCTGACACGTGATGGTGAATGGACCAGTGAGAATTTGGCACTCGATCATGAATATGTATGAGATGTAGTAACCAAAAATAGTAGCAGGGTGGCCAGCCCTCCTAAAACCTCTTGCAGAGAACACTGATTCATGTCACTGATGAATGTCTGAGAAATTATAGGCCTGACAAGGAGGGGTTATCTTTCAGGTCCTTCCACACCAAATTGGCGCGTACCGGTACGATTTGAGAGCAGTTTCAACCCACAAACATAGTATGAATTCCTGTGAGAAAGAGGCGTACCATAAGAAAGTGCTAGAAGTGAAAACACAAATAGCAAGCGAGAACAAGAAATGAAGAATCTGACTTACGTTGAGTAGAGAGTGGAGCTGGTTGTCCTCAAAGATTCCGTGCAGGAAGTCCAGATCTTTCTCGTCGCAGTCTGTCAGGCACTGGATCTCCTCCAGACTGTCCAGGACCTGGGCAACGGCACCTGTTGAACACCGAAACAAGAGCAGAGAGTATTAGACAGGTTAAGTTTCAAGTCTTTGATATCACATATATGCGACAACTGGAGTGCCGAGGCCTCGTGGTCCGCGGGTAATTCTGCAGGTTGTGGGTTTGAGTCCCGCTTGGGGTTGTGGTGCGTGTGCCCTTGGGCAAGGCACTTTGTCAACCCATTGCTTCTCTCCACCCAGGAGTAAATGGGTACCTGTGAGGGTGGAGATGGTTATTCTGATTTTAGCTGCTTTGCGCCGAAATGGCAGCATCGAGCTGTGTACTCCCCAGGGAGCTGAGATGGTCTTTGGAATGTTTCATTGTTCCAATGAGCAGGGTAATAATGATGTAGCGCCTTGAACACCAATACTGGTGGAAACGTGCGCTTTATACACACACATTATCATTAGTATACATTATAACTCCCCCTGAAAGTTACAGGTTCACGTTTACGTGGAAAGAGTTCACGTAGGAGTAACAGAATCGGAGTACATACTTTGTACTAGACGACGTACTTTACCGAGTACGCATTTTGTGATGCTCATGCACACAACCATGGCGCAACTTGGCTTCTAGATGTACACATTCTTGCCAAGACTTGTTACTTGACCTCTCATACATATTCATGAGCCAACAAAAATTTTTTGTTGACGTCCTGGGTGCGTGATGTATTTACTCCCAGCTGGGTTGAGTCGTTCAAGGGAAGAAGTAAGGTCAGCACCTGGACTCCCACTCATGAGATGAGAAGGATCGCAAGTCAGGCGATATTAGTGGTACCATTCTCACCTGATGATGTTGGGTCTTCGTCCGCAAAGTCTGTGATGTGTTTGGTGTTGGGATCGCTGTAGAAACTGGTGAACTTGGCGCTGGCCACTGCTGCTAAAACGGCACCCTGTGGGTGTCAAAATTAACAAAATCAAAATTTCATTTCATATCAAAATTTAAAAACTAATATAACTTAACCTCTGCAGTGCCTTGTGGATCATTCAAGTGCCATGGTTTGAAATTAACCCTAACCCCCTAGGCCCTATTGGCTAAGAACCACACTCAAACCTGAAAAATCCTCCAATTGCCACCACGTAAAAATCGCATTCAGCCTCAATCTTCACAGATCATTGTCATTTCTTGAATTTGTTCAGTGGAGGGTTGACCATTGACTCAATCCTTCAAAATCCCTTAACAATCACTGTTAATGGGTTGAGGCAGTGCAGATGACATTCAGAAGCAGTGCGGATGATATCGAGCATAACGCAGGTCTGAATATAAGCAATGCACGATTTGAATTGTGGTTGACTTATGATTTGACTTATGATTGACTTATGATTTGACTTGTGAATGAATTGTGACTGACTTGTGAGTGACCGAAAACTCTCTGCGCGTTAAAATAAGAAAAAAGGTTTTACATAGAGGCAGCCACAGCTGTGAAGGCATATTAAACCAACCTTGAGTTTACGCCGAGAGTTGAACCTCTTCAGTTCCTCCACCGATTCTTGCAGATGAACCTTGGGCGTCACTCGATCTCTATCCTGAAAAAAAACCACAAATGAAGAAATCATCAGACATAAGATCAAAATAACCATTACAAATATAACTAAAATAACCATCAAAAATTTGCATCATCGTGTACACACCTCTGTAACACTCGCTGCCATGTTAAAAAAAGAAAGAAGTATTTCGACATGTAGCTTGACCGGTACAAAGGACATACAGAGCTGACAGTTTCAAAGTGACAACATTTTGGAGTTTTTTAAAACAATTCTCACTCCACGAAGCATTCCAGCCTATACTTTACTGCACAGTGTCGTCTCTCTCTCACTCTATGCTACTGTATTGCTACATGAATATTTTCAGCACTGAGTCATTGTTGTTATCATGACCATCATGTTTTTACAGCCTGTAAACGACCCCCCAAATGCACTCAGACATCATAAAATGTTTCAGGGATCGCTTCGCATATTGTTGCTTGTGATCAGCTTGTGTCAAGCACGTGTTACAGAAAAGTGCTGGCACCGATTTTATGGAGTTGTTGAGCAGAAAGTATTGCTTAAGCAAAATTGAATTGCTAAGCTAAAAGGAAGCTGGGAACCAGTCACAAGGAGTATTCATATGTGTGTTACAACATCTTGGCTGGTAACCTTCTTTTGTGCTAAGCAAATATTTCTGTAAGACGAAGATTTACGGTAGCATTAAGTTACAAAACTCTTTTGCGAGTTTGTGAGGTTCTGAAAAGAACTGGGGTAACTCAACATTTGAGACAGTAGGACGTCATAGCTAATTGAACGGCATGGAGCTAACCTGAGTCGACCTGCGGGAGCAATTGCACTGTTTACAGTGTTTGGTTTTTTTTCATACATGTATGTAATGGCATGCAAAGGAAGGGGGAGAAAAAGGAAAATCCCTGATCTTAGCAAAGTTGTATGCTTGTGACTACATTATAAATAAATCACCCCATATTCATAACAAATCCCCATACATTCGGCAAAGCAATAGTTCAGGAAACTTTTTGTGATCTGCTTTTCACTCATCCACAAAAGGAACTAGCCTTATGCAATGGCGCCCTCTACTGGTCACTGCACATACAGTCTCTCTTCAGTTCAAGTTTTACAAAAAAGTTTGTAGTGAAACAATATGAAAGCATATCTCCGTTAATAAAGATATTCTTAAACATTTCATTTTTCATTAAGTATATAGGGCAGTTAACATCAGTTTTTGAGTTTTTTTTTAACAATGAGGCAAAAGGCAAATAAATAAATAAATAAATAACTTCTCCCAATACAAATCAAAAGACAAAAGCTTTGGAATGCCACCCTACTTGCCACGTCTAGGTCCAAAATGGATTAGAATTTCCCCCCTTAGGCCTATGCTGCCAGTCCCTATCTCAAGCAAGCGCGGTCAGGCAAGCGTGGTGGTCAAGCAAGCGCAGTCAGGCTTGCATTCAAAATCTGCACGAGTGAGGTCTGCTCAAAATGGCTTGGTTCCCAGTGCCAAATTTTCAAGATTTGATTCATGCTGTTGATAGTGCATGCCCCTCTTCCACCGCGGAGGCTAGACAAGGCCCGACTAGGGACTGCCTATGTTTGTGACCTGTCACCACAAAACGAGCATAAAAAGTTGGAAGTTGTCATTTTGCAGTACCGTGGGGCAAAAGCCAAAATTTCACAGGCGAGCGATTTCTGGTTTTCAGGTGAACCTCAGTAAGTCCTGTTCTACCTGAGCCCAATTGTTTTGGTTCTATCAAACATCTTTAAAACCTTTTTTCATCCCGTTTCATTAGTTGACTGTTTATTCACTGGAATACAACATTAGGATTTTTAAATGGAATTTTTCTCAAAAATAACTACTACAACTTTCATTTAGTTGGCGGTCTAAATTTCCATTACTGAATGTTAATATACATGTATCATAAGAAAGCTCTTGTTATGTAGAATCTAGAAATAAAATCTCTCAATTCTTAGCAAGTCTGACTTTATGCTCATTTTGTGGGGAACATATACCAACTTGAGTTTTAGGACCAAAACTATACTTACTATGAGCCATGGATGGCTAAGGGCCTGCTCCACCGTGATGCGATCCTTGGGGTCCACGCGCAGCATCCGTCGGATCAGGTCCTTGGCCGGTTCTGAGATGTGGTCCCACTGTCTGGGCTTCATCTGATGGTTCCAAAAACATGGATTGAACGAATTAGATTGGTTGGCAGTGTTGCTTTCCTTGACTTCCACTGTGTGTTACTTGGGTTTGAAACCCACTAAGGCCACAAAGGTGGACTGGATTGTTCAGTGTCTGTCTGATTCCTTGGGTTTTCCAACAGAGAGCTTTGGCCCCCCAAAAAAGTCTCCGGTTTCTGGTATGCGCGCGCGTCGCCGTAGCCATGCGCGTCGGCAAAATGAAAAAGTTTTTTTTTCAATGAAAGATGATGTCTCAAAACCGCCAAACTCACTGGTTTGACTGGAATCCTGCTGCTGCACAATTTTAACGTTATTTTAGATTGGGTTGTGGTCGAGAATAAGCTTTATGTGGCCTCTCTGGACTCCCATATATTTGCACTAAGTTTAGTCGAGCACCATTTGCAGTCATCAGCCGACATTTGAAGCAACAAAATCAGGTAAAAAAAAAAAAAAAGCCGCGTCGCCGCACCACTTTTTGGGGAAGCTCCATACCAGAAACCGGAGACTTTTTTTGGGGTGCCTTTGGCATGCAATTGGACAGCTCTAGGCACATCTTTAGCTGTCTGTTACGATTATCGGCCATGTCCTTGTGAAACACCAACTCCCGCAAACTACCTTACCATTCGTGCACATGCACAAGTTCTACTGACAAGACCAAAGGATCTGGTCACATTGCGTGTCCTAGCATGTATTTCATTCAAATGATTCATTAAGTTGTGTTCAAAAGATACATACAAATCCTGAACAACCGTATGTTTTGTCACATGGCACAAATATTTTCAGAACTAAAATCTAGTATACTCGCAGTGGTTCGTCAAGGTTTTTTTTTTTGTGTAATCACGATGGAGGGAAATTCAAAATGATGGCTTTTGACAAAATATAGTGTAGAAACTTGTGTAAGGCGTTAGGGAAAATAAAGAATGATTCTCTGTACGTGATGTGTAGCATGCATTGCACTGTATCAGATTTTTGTGCATGGGGAAATGTTCAATTTTTTCAAGTCAGCATTGGGGAGGGGTAGTCTTGCCTAGGCATGCTTGGAGAGACTGCTGATAATTTGCTTAAATTGATGGCGGGCTATTTGTGTTCTGTTCATCATTAGTGTAAGTTTAAGAGCACTGTATACTCAATGCTGCCCATAAGCGTGTGAGAAATCAATGGCAAGCTTGCTGCTTGGGTCGGAGAGTAAGCAGACTAGCTTGTCTTTGACAATGCCAGAGTACAGAGTAATTTAGCTGATAGTCCACTAACTTTTATTGAAGCTTGCCCTTAATGAAGTGATTTCGAAGAGCGACTGGCTTATTTTTAACTTACGTAGTATCTGCCCTTGACAATCATGTCAAACAGGTGCTCCTTGGTCCCAAAGAACGGCAGGGAACCGCTGAGGAGGATGAAGGTCATGACCCCGCAGCCCCAGATGTCGATGGGTTTGCCGTAGGGTTCTCGCTTGACTACCTCGGGGGCCATGAAGTGGGGCGTGCCGATGCGACCTGCGACGGTGAGCAATAATCAACCAAGCTAACATTATTTCAAATTCAACAATCATTGAGAGATGTGTAGAACTCCTCAATTCTAATTCAATTGCCATTACGTGGTAGGTACCATGCTTGCCTGTAGGTCACATGCACATACTCAACTCTTCTTTAACTAATAGGGCTCGCTCAATGACGGCCATCTCTGTAGGAGAACTGCGACTGCGTATTTGACGCAATCAAGCACACATTGCAGTGTTGAAAATGTGCCAAACACGCGCGCTTGTTGCTCAAAATGTATTCGAAATACGACGCAGCCGATGCGCGTTATGCAAGTTGACGCTCAAAATGCCGATGCACGTAGGAAATGACGTCATTTGAACGAGACCTATACATGTAAGAGTGAGTTTGTTTCTGCATTCAATAGGGGACGTTGAACAAAAGAGGACAAAAGGGTCCCCAATTCCAGAGAGGTCCCCATTTTGCGATAGTGTGCAAAACATATTGGAGGTCTTCCTAAAAAGTTAAAGTACAAACAAGAGAGGGACAATAGGGGTCCCTGATTGAAGGCAAATACACAACTGTGTGTGCTTCAATCTGAAGTACATGTGTGACATCAGACATGCATACAAGCATGGTAGGACTTCGGTAATGGCGTCTGAGTATTTATTTTGGGCACCGTTCAGCAGACTTAACCAAAACTGGTTTCATTGTTTTCCATTGGTTTAGCATTTCGGCTACTTTGGTAGCACAGTGAATCGTGCATTTTTAACTTGTGATTGGACGACTTGTGTTCGACTTGCGATATGTTCATAGTACTTTGAGGACTTGTGATGAACTTGACTACAACATCTGTGACAATCTGTGACGGAGACAGATGTAGTCTTATGTCCTTATGATCCTACCTCCGGCAATGAGGTGCGATTCAGGCAGCTGGATGGCGATGCCGAATCCTCCCAGCTTGACCGGGCCGAATTCTCCTTGGTAGCCAGCAACACACAATGGGGCTGACAAACAAACAGAACAAACCAAGCAGTCATTGTGAGGTAATGACTTCAAGTTATTATAAAACCGGGATCTTTAAGGAAAGCGCTTGGCCGAGCACTGTTTTGTGAATCCAACAAAAAAATCTTTTGTGGGGTTTATTTTAAACACTTGTAATAAAAAGCTGTATCCTCTCTGAGTGATCTCCATTTGTTACTTCCCAGATTTGCAGCATTGCTAATGTTGCTGGCATTGTGACTTTGGGCGCGATCCCTGGCCACATGGCATATACGGGTTTATGGCTTCTGTCTAGCTCCCCTTGAACAAAGACATTGACAAAATGGCGAACTGCCAACATAGGGCTGGATAGCTCAGTTGGTAGAGCAGTGGAACAGCAATCTGGAGTGTACAGGTTCAAACCCTGCTCCAGTCAATTTCTTTGTTCAATTTTTTTTTTTAAGTCAGTGCACAAGAAAACTCTCAAGATATAAAGTGCGGATGTTAAAGATGGCACAATACCTTGATGTCTCTGTGAATGATGTCATTGTCATGGCAGTAACGTAGAGCTTCCAGGATCTGACGCAAGTAGTGGCTGCAAGAAATGTAAGTAACGATAATAAACAAACTGTGGGACTCAAGTAAACCGGCCCAAGTTAAATGTCAATCGGTTCTCAAACAGAATACATCAATATTTCATATAGCAGTGACCTTGAGCCTTCATGCAAAGAGGGATTTTCTTCTTTTGTTTGTTTGTATGTTTTTCGATGTACTGTTTATAGATGTGCAGTGTGCAATGTTCACTGGCACTTTTGATTAACAAGTCAAATTCTGGTGAAGACAAAATTCTCCAATAAAAAATGAAAATTTAAGAGAACAGTGTTCTATGGCAAAACAGTTCAGTCATTACACAGTTGTAATTATCAAGGCAACAATCAGACAACTTGGAGTAATAACAACCAATTTTTATCAAAGTTAAAGAATTTAGGAATAACTTCTGTATCATTCCGAATTTAGTTTTTTCATAATTTATCATGCCTTTGAAAAAACACTCATTTTATTAAAAAGATTTTTGAAATTTTGAAAATCAAGCTTCTCACAAAATAGCTATATTTTATAAAGAATAAAAAAAAAAGTAAAGAAAAAAACACCAATTGCCGCCCATCCCCAACTTTTTCTTTCTAGAACTCGAGCCCAAGTTCAGACGTTCATAATGCTGATCCTTCTCGCTGTATTTCCAGATAGGACCATTTTTGGGCACCCGTGAGCTTGAAGCCCGATGGAGAATGGCCATAAATGTTATTGTGGAATGTGACACGGGACAGGCTGTGCAGATACATACATTTTCCCAAACCGTGGTTCTCTCTACAGCTTGCAAAGAGCATTCAGGCCTCTGACTTGGAGAGGGGGGGGGGGGGTGGGAAGGGAAGGGGGATTACTGCTCAATAAAGGTCTATCTTTAGCTTCAGCAAATGTCAATGAAGAAATTAAAACAAAAAAATGATATTCAGAGATTTTGTCGATGACCAAAAACTTGGATATTTAGCACAGCCCTAGATGAAGTCAAGCTTGGATATCTAATGCAGTCTGGTGCCGGCAGAGGTTCATACTGACCTGGCAACGGCCTCACTGTAGATGAATCCCGAGTTGGCACGTTTCACAATCTCAAAGCACAGATCGGCGCCTTCCATACTGCAAAAGGCAAAGAAACCATTTCAGACTGATGAGTACCAAGTAAATGCTCACAGTGATCATGTGACTCCCATCACATGATCGGAACTCGCATCACATGGTCAAGTGATTCAGATCACATGACTTCAGGGGAATCCTCCCTCTCTGTGAAATCTGAATAAGCCTGTGTACTAATGACATCACACTTTGTTTACGTACACGTGTGCTATCCTATGTTGCTCAGTGGGTCGTGGACCCCCACTGGCTTCATACATTGTAGGAAAGTGTATACATTCTGTAAACAAACTGTGAGGTCATTAGTACAGGGGCTTATTGATTGTTTCCTGAACAACTGCAAAAAAAAGGACATTTCCTTTTTTACAAGGTAGGCCTACAAGTACATGTAATGAGATTCAAGTCAACATTTTTTTCCAATTTCATTTCCAAAGGCACAGCTACATTTTGTTGAAATTTGACAGAACTTTTTTCTGTTATCAATCAATTTTTTTTTAACTCAAATTTCCATGGCAGATGAACATCATAATCAGACAGACTTTTCAATCACGGCCATTCATCAACTCAATCATTTTTTTTTAGGATCTACACAACCAACAAAGCTGTCGGAATGATTTTTTTTCTGTTTGCATCATTTTTTTTCAAAAAGGAAACGTCGCCCTATTTTCTACACTCACTATTCAAAGACCATGTAGAGCAGCCCATCTGAGCTGTAGGTTTCCAGTAACTCCACGATGTGGGGGTGCTTCAGCATGTGGCATATACTGGCCTCTCTCTTCAGATCTAAGGCACAAAATAATAATTAAAGAAAATATTAAAAATGAGTAACTAACGTTGACTTGACATTTCGCATGCTATGGTGTACAGATGTATCCCTAACCATACCTGTACTTACTCCTATGACAGGGTTGCCAGCACTTTATAGAAATGGAAAATTCTATGAGCTTTCCCTGATATTTCCCTGAGAATCAATATCAATCAAAATCAATCCTCTCCTCTGCCATGCCTTCACCAACAGTCAGATCATATTTCCAGCAAGCACTGTGACTGGTCAAATTCAGTCAACAGACAAAAGCAGGCATGCATGCTTGGCACAGCTGGCTTATCAATCATCTACAGTCAAAGCATCTATAGCTGTACCAAGTTACATAAACAGTCACAGCCAGTCAATCCTGCTTTATGTTTAGGCTGGGAGCTCTTAACTGGTAAAAACAGTGACTTGGTTGATTTTGGCTGAAAGGAAAACTTGGCACAGAAAGTATGTTAATTGCATAGGAGCGTTAAAAGTAAAAATCAGATAAATTCACTTGCTGGAATTTTTAAGTTTTTAATTTTTTTCCCCATAAATTCAGTCTCTTCAAATTCTAGTTTTGGTTCACACATTATCGTTGTGATGGTGCACACATGCCACTACATTATAGCGCTTATAAAAAAATGACAGGTTGAAAGTTTGGCACCGTACAAAACAAAAATTTCCTTATTCATGTACACGTACTGTTATTGACAGAAGCATACAGTTTGTATATATTTCGTGTGCGTGTGAGGATTTTATAGAGAGGCCGTCACGATCATAAAAATTAATGACCAGATATAAAAAAAAATTAAAAATTAAAAATTCAGTACTATATTAATTTGCTCACCATCAATTATGTGTCTGCACACCATGCATGCACTGAGTGCAAAAAAGACTATCTGTACTAATACATTGCGCCATGAGTAATGACTATCCAGATAAAGTTCAACAGAATCTGACTGTACTTTCCCAAATCTGACAGGGATCTAATTATAACTAGATGGATGGTAAATCATTCTATAGAGCTCCCCTTAAATATCAACGCAAGCAGGTGTAGGGTGGCAGGGGGATTGGTGTAGACTGTCTATCGTCACGTCCGGATTATATGGCTACGGCTGGATATAACACATGTGTCTATGGGAAGTGGCTTCGTTGCTTCCATAGGCATGTGTGGGATTGTAAGTCATAGCCATGTCATTCAGACACGGCTTACATCGTGTACGTTTGTGTCACTCATCAGCACGGTAGTCCTGGTGTAAACATGCACAAAGATGTATGCCTGGTGTACATGTACTGGCACTGTGTAGTCAGAGGTTAAAGGGAATATACATCATTTGCTTTTGCTGTAATTTTCAGAAATGGATGGAATTGGGGGGGTTGGAAATATATATATAGCAAATATAGTTACACTGACTTTTTTGAGGTTTTGAGTTCGAAAATGCTATAAAACCAAGAAAAACAATCATTTTCCTGTAGTCTGGTTCCCTGACTCCATACAAGAAGAAACAGAGCAGTTTACATACATTGGGGAATTGTAAGGTCAGGGAACCAGTCTAGCTGGCTTGTACCCGTTCATAGGTGTGTAATCGATTGCAAACAAGTGCGACGGTCAACTGGGGCCAGTATTTGAAAAAAAACCCAGTTTTTTCCAACGCTGGTCGGCCAACCAGCATTGGAAATTGATACAAAAATACCACTTTTCTTGAAAATGACAGTATACCAGGTGCCATGATTTTACAGGATGCTTTACACTGTCATTCACTAACAGTCCAGCAAGGTATTTCAAAATGATAAAATGGTAGTTTTATTTTTTGATGTTTGCAAATGTTGTATTTTCCCTTTAACTTAAAATAAATGAGCATACATGTAATATTACATAGACATAAATTTGTTAGCTTTCTATTTGAAACAATTCTGAAGTATTGGTATCACTTTCACAAGTTTCAGATTGAGTGTGATTATACCCAGTTAGGACACACAACCTTCTGGATGGGGTTTATGGGGTACTTGCATTGTTCTGGCCCTTCATCCCTCTACATGTACTTTAGAATTTACTTGGGGTACTGTTTACAGAGGCCGACAATGTGGGGAACCATTGTGTGAGTACCCCATAATGCAGCTCTCGTAAGAGCTACCCTGTATGTGTAGGGCTGAATATTCGATTATGAATATTCCATCATCATGAATATTCGATCAGCAAATGAATGTCTGCATACATTTGTACATGTAGCAAAATTGTTTTTTTTTTCATTCAAATATTCGAAAAATGAAGGCGGTCTCGAGGAGATGATGAAATCAAGGATGTGTGTATTTTAACCTCGTAAGTTGCAAGGTTTTTATTTTTTATTTTTTCAAATGCCACACTTTTGTTGAAATCCACTTTTGCGCACAATTTTAGAGCTTCCATGATGAATATAAATTAGCTCAAATTTCTTTTCTAAAGTCGGTCAAATATCAGCCGTTCAGCGACCTGTTCTTTTCATTTATTTTAACCCTCCTACTATTTAAGAGGTCACCAATGGTCAAAATGTTTGTATCTCACCTCCTGGCATATTGTGTGCAAACCAATGGGGGTCTTGACCAATATTGACCCAAGTAATAACCAAGACAATGCATGTTACCAAAGGAGGGTTAATAAGCTCTTTATCGATATGCGCACGCTGATCCTGATTTGCGGCAAGTTGAGGCTGGCGCATGTTAGACTTGATCAGCGCAATTTGAATGTATGAATATTCGATCTAGTCCAAATTAAAATAATTGAATACTTAATTATTTGGAAAACACACAGCCCTATATACTTAGGACACGGACCATCCTACGAATTTGTAGATCCAGCGAACATTGGTGTAATGTGTTTTACTACAATTTAAAATTATAAGTTTGAACCAAAAATAACAAATTGAATGGGACGAGATCTGAACCTGTGACCGCCTGAATACCTTACCAGAGGTCGCTGGTTCAAACCCGACTCCAATCCATTTTTTTTTTTCAAGCCCAGAATTATTGCTAAATAAAATTGTGTGGAAAAAGTATCAAAGAACTGAATACAATGATGAATACATTTCAAACTGAAACCGGGGGAATTATAAGCATCCCCACTGAAAAAAAATTATAATAATTTCTTTCTCTTGGAAGAAAAAAAAATGGGCTAAGAACCAGTACTATATACACGCATGGTTGAAACCATTGAATATTCATTGCAGCAGATTACAAGCAGCTTTAGTCAATCTTGACTCCGACCCTACGGTACCCCAACCATTTAGTCCCCGTGTGATCCTGTTAACTAGGCGTGCAAATCGCATTAGGGAAAACTTTACGGGCAGCGCAGCAACATGACATTTCCGTACAGGATTATAAACTCAGAGACAGTCACCGAGGCTAGCCCGGAAAGAATTTTAGCCATTATAGAAAAATCCCTCTCTTCGTAATAATAATAATAAAAAAAGATGAATGAAAGAAATATCTTTCATCAAAAAAAAAATCTAAATGCAATTTTGCGATTATAGTCCCGGGTAGGAAGTGATCTCATAAAAGCGACTGAGTGATATCTAAATTTCCATCCAATTTTCGCATAATGGAGACTACTTCGGGTCGAAGTCAGTGGCCAGCAGTCACAGTGGCTGTGCATATGATTTTGACACGGTTGTGTGTGTGTTGCAATCTGCACTGTTTGTGCAAGAGCTATTTGAGTAGTACAAGTGTACACAGTTCAATGTGGGCGTTTGCAACATTGCATCCTTATATTTTGTCACATATCGGGGCCGTTCTGGTGTCGGACATAGTCATTTTGGACAAGTCAAACGTGTGCATAATGAAAGTTATATTCATGAAGTGGATTTTAATTCTGATAAAAGTATCAGTTTATTACAGTGCTTTAACAAAATTAATCCTCCAACTTTTTAGCTGTAGTAGAAACTTCGGATTGAGACACCACAATCTAATTTGTGTGTGTGTGTGAGTACATTCATTGTACATGTATAATTTTTTCAGCAGAACTGTTGAACATTGTTTGAAATAAACTACAATATCTCAAAAAATTACACCTAACAAGCTTCAAAATGATATACCTGGTTCATGTTTCATTTGTGGCATTGGGATTTTGTTGAAGTTTTGGCCAATGGCAAAAATATGGCCAATGGCAAAAACCGAAAGCCACATCCACAAATAGTGAATAGCGTTATTTAATGCTCGAAAACACAGGCAGCGCCCCGTTCAACTTCTGAAAGCAAAATGTCGAGAAACACATTTTACACCCCTTTAATATTTAAACTAGTGCGCGAAGATTCGGCGATTAGTCCAAAACAAGACTGCGTCTTGACCTCTGGATTCTGACCATTCAGCAGGCGCGTTCTATCGGGTCTTTGGCAATCCATTGTTTCTAAAGTGGACTCCAATTGGCTGGCACTCTGGGTTGCATAAAATTTGGGTGCTCACGAAGGTGTACGTTCGTTTAGCTCGCCCGGGTGGACACGGGTCAGCCCCGTGCCGTTCGATTGCATTTTGTAGCTCTGACATCATTATCGGAGCTCACCCGGGTCAGCCACTACAGAACCTGCTCATGGAGCAGAGTCACTGGTGGAAGTACGTCACGCATGCGTTGTTCATTCCCTAGAAACGGACAAATATGCGACCGGACAGCGGAAATCTCAAGTGGACTTACAAGTTGACTTCATTTGAAGTCTAAAGGTAATCATTTGGTTGAGTTCATTGCGACTTTTGAGGCTAAAATTTCAGCCCAACTTTTTTGAGTTTGCAGTAAATCTCAAACTGAGACCCAGTCCGAAACAGGCGTTGTCAGTGGCTACGTCACGCGGTTGAGCGTTCGATTAGCCCGGCTGTCGTGGCTGACCCGTCTGCCTTTACCCGTGTCGACCCAGGTGAGCTAAACGAACGCACCAATCATATCAGAAGTTGGTGTGGAGCTTGTGGGCTTCGTAGAACAATGGATGATATTCAGACTATATTCCAACTGCAAATCATCTGAAAAGTA